TACCTGGCACCCTTGAATTAGGAGTCAGATTTTCCTGCCTTCAGCCTGGCCTGGAAATATTGGCTTTGCCTGGGTAGTGAGCCTACTGGCCTTCAGACTAGAGCTATACCATCTGCTCTCCTGAGCCTCCAGCCTGCTGACTTACCTCCATCTTGGACTGCCAGTCTCTGTAATTGTGTGAGGCATGAGCCGTTTTTTAAAAAATCTCTAAACCTTTTTTTTAAACCTTAATATAGTGGACATATTCTAATATCAACAAATTAAAGGAACCCTCACGCACCCACAGGACAATCTCTCTCATTTTTAAAAAGATGTGTTTATTTATGTATATAGAACTGGGGTACAGGCCAGAGATGCAGGGGGTGAGAGGACCCACCAGAGACAGAGTGGGGAGCAGAGTAGGCAGATGGATGAAGCATACTGCTGAGGGGAGCAGCGGGCGGGTCAGGAGGGGTCTGCCGCGCCCTGTGGGTCTCTCCCTGTCCAGGGATTGAACTCATGGTGAGAGGCTGTAGTTAGCTCCATAGTGCTGTGCTTTAACCCATCATGCCACCAGGGAGGGCCCTAGGAAGATCTCTTTTTCAAAGGCTTAGCTATCCAGAATTCATAAAGTATTATGGATTTTTATTGTTGAGAGAAAAATTAAATTTCAATGTGGAAAAATTCTCCAGTGCTGTGGGAACACTACAAGAGAAACGAAAATGTCTTAATGTAACAGCCTCATTTGGTGGTGATGTAGGAATGAGCTAACCAGTCACCTTGGCACACGGTGTATCATGATAAGCCAAACAGGGTAACATCTAGAGCCATCAGTGGTGGTAGAATTCACTGCTAAGTCACCCCAACAGGGATGCTTTCTGGCTGCTGCTACAAGGGAGAGGCGCAGCCTCTCACCTCTGCTCTGATCCCTGCCCTGGACCCTCCCCTGCCCTCTCCGGTGCCTTCCCGCCACTGCTGCTCACCAGACCTCTGCTGCCTTTCAACTCCACCTCACCCTTGACATGTCCTGCTTTCTTCTGGCCAATAAAAGAAGGCGGGAGGAGCGCTGCCTTCTCTGGCAGCCAAACATCCCGGGTCCTGGCTCAGACTCCACCTCCCCACCATGCTCTGTGTGGACTCCACAGCTCCTACCAAGAAGCTGTTTTTCCATCCTAGGACCTGACCTCATTGTTCCCGGCGCTGGGGCCATCTATGAGGCGACACTGGCCAATGTGGGAGTTTATTGCAGTTTTATGTTGCACCGTGGGAAGAGAAAGCGTCCGTCTGTGCCGCTGCCTGTTACAAAAACAGTAACAACAGTCTCCTCTCGACTTCCCTGAGCACCGACATGGCTGAAAAACACAGAAATGCGACTCGCGCGTCACACATGGAGCTGGTCTGTGAACTGACTGGTTTACGAGCCTTGCTGCCGTTTATGAGAACTGCCAGAGCGCACAGCTCTGCTTCCTCTTCTTGCAGCCCAGCTTGACATTTTGGCTCACTTGAGCTCCTGTCATGGGCTGCCACACAAACACTGTGTGTCTGGTGCTGTCATTTCCTGGCAGGGCACAGTCATCCCACGTCGCTTCAGGATGCTCTCGCAGGGTTCCTCCTGTGGCGGCTGACCCAGACCTCAAAAAGCGAATTTTTTCCAGAAGATAGGTAGGAGGGAGAGGAGCCAGCGAGGTTTCTTGGAAAGAGCAAACACAGTCCCACCAGCATGGCCACGCTATATTGAGAGTAGAGGAAGTGGTCTCCACCCACTTACCACTCTGTTGTCACAGCGCTACCTGAGTCTTCCTGTCCCATCTCTGCGTGTGCCAGGTGGTGGGGAGGTGACAGCGGCTCTCTCAGCTTTTCCATAACCACGGCCCAGTGTGGCCACGGAGCCACGCCTGTGAGCACATAGCACCATTACATACTCCCATCCACCCAGCTCATGAGCTGTCTTTCTCGATTTTTCCCCACCGAGGTGCACTTTTATTTTCCTGCCACAGCCCTGATTTTGGGTACCTCAATTTCTTCAGTATTTCAACGAATTTAATAATGATCCATCCAAGTCAATTCTGCCCCCTTAGGAGAGGAAGTGTTTGGTTCGTGCAAAATATGTTTCTTCACATGTACCTTAGCACTAATTAAACTTCCTGCCTTAGCAATTCCAACTCGTATTTATTTCACATCTACTTCGTGTGTCATAGTGCTACTTGCTCGTTGAGGGCTTAACAGCAGATTAAATATTGCTCAGGAAATTTCTGTCTTTAATAAGTTAATAATAATAGTTACTCCATATTTAAGTATGAAGCACCTATTCAATATGTAGGCTTTTTTTCTTTTAATAATAAGAATTTAGAACAAAGGGATAAAAGGGAACAATTGCATCCAGACTTCAGATTTTGGAAGGACTAGATGTGTTAGTAATAAACCACGCAGACTTTTCTTATTAAAATGGACTAATTGGGCCCTCCCTGTGGTGCAACTGGTTAGAGCGCAGCACTGTGAAGTAATCCACAGCCCCTGCAGCTCCAGTTGGATCCCCAGCCACGGAGTGACCCCAGGGCGCAGCAGACCGCTCCTGTCTCCCCGCTGCCCCCTCAGCAGTGTATCTCAGTAGAGCCGCCAGTTCTGCTCCCCACTCTGTCTCTGGTGAATCCTCTCACCCCCACACCTCTGGCCTGCACCCCAGTTCTGTATGCATAAATAAATAAATCTTTTTTAAAAAAGGACCAATTAATCCTCACAAATCCTTATACAAATCATTGCCCTGAAGCAAAATAATAACACTAAAATAAAAATTTTTAAAGGCATGCGAACCTAAGCTGCTCCTTCATTAGGTTACTCCTAGAGGAAAAACCCAGACCTCCAAACAGACATTTTTATCCCGAGAAAGTAATCGTGAAAGAACTATCTTGGGGCTCAGGTCTCCCTATCGGTTATTTATAGGATGGACATCCAGGGAGAAGAATAAAGACAGACAAGGAGTTAACATTTTGGAATACCTTTTTTTTTTTTTTAAGATGTATTTATTCATGCACACAGAACTGGGGTACAGGCCAGAGTGTGGGGGGTGAGAGGATTCACCAGAGACAGAGTGGGGAGCAGAACAGGCAGTTGGATGAAGTCCTCTGCTGAGGGGAGCAGCCGGGAGACAGGAGGGGTCAAGCCCCTGGCTGGGGCTCGAACTCGTGCTGCACTTTAACACACTGTGCCACCAGGGAAGGCCCGACTTTGGACTACTTTTATGTAATTGATGGGCCACTTACTGGACTCCAGGGTCACTCCGACTCCCCCTTTGCAAATTCCGCCCACCTAATTATTTTGCCTCACTTCTCCTTACAGGAATCCCCACGGAAGGGCTCTCATTCCTCCTGTTGTGTAAGTACAACAGATAGAATCTGCAGCTTCACAGGCTTTGAAATTCTATTTTTGTTCGTAGTGCCAGTCAAATGCTTTGCTAATTTTTTGTTGCTTCCTTTCAGCAGTGAATTTCTTTGCCAGGCCTCTTGATAGCCTCCGATAAAGTTCTGAGGGCCGATGCCTCAGGCTGAGTTGGCCTCAGGGCTGAGTTGGCACCTCCTAGTAGCCCTCCGTCTTCACACTGGTGCCCGAAAAACTGTGCATGGTTTGTGAAGTACCAAAACGTCAACCTACTGACGCCTTCAGACTAGCTCTGCAAAGCCAAGCTCTGCACAGGCCTACGAGTGCATCTGCATGGCGCATCACATATGTCTGCACGGCGCAGCATGTCGTCTGCATGGCGCAGC